GGTGTAACAAGCTCCTTAATGCAGAGATCTTTGGAGGAATGGTACCAGAAAGCCTGTTCTGCGACAAATCAAAATGTTCAAGCCTCGTCATCTCGCTCAATCCTTCAGGAAGACCACCAGAGAAAAAGTTTTGCGACAAAAGAAGTTTGGTTATCTTTCTCAACTTGGCTATAGTATTTGGTATTGGTCCCCGGAAGTTGTTGTTCCTTAAGTTTAGGGTAGTGAGCTCTGTCAAGTTTCCAATTGTTGGAGTCAGAAAACCGTCCAATCCATCTCCTTCAAGGTTAATTACAGCTATTCGACTGCTAGAATTATCTTCAGGAGTTGTACATAAAACTCCTAGAAAATGAGGCCCCGAGCTTTCGCATGGATCTGTGTCAAAGTTCCAAGTGCTGAGAAATGAAGTTGAGGAGATAGTGTTGGGATCAACAGCCTCCCTGATGTTACGTAGAACTTGAATATCAGATTGCAGAGTTAGCGAAACAACAAGACATGGAACAAGAATAAGGGAAATAGCTAAAAAAGTTGTATAGCAGAAAAAAGACGATGCAAAATGCATAGATGTGGCCATTGCATTTAGAAAACTTTAGAGCAGTCCGAAGCTCAATATTGATACTCGACGCCTGCTGAAGCTACTTATATGCCTTCACAAGCAAAGCATGATAAACAGCTTAGGAAATCGTTAGTATCATTCAGGGCATCGGCACGCAAAATGAACTCTGCAAAGTAGGTTAAAAATACAGCAAGCGCTGCCAGTTAATTATTCGGGAATGTATATTATATGCCAATTTCGTCCTAAATTATTCGGTGAATCAAATCTTACTGTAGACTTAAGTTGTTGTGACTTTTTGTTAGTTGAAATCAGTTTATATTGCTCCTGCTCCTCCTTTGCTAATTCTGCACATTTTTGACAAAATTTTCATAATTACCAAAAGTTAACAAATTGTACAAATGTGTCATGGATTTATTTTTAATGGTGAAATTGAGCTGCTTCCCCGTTGGCTCGGCTCAGTTAAGACCCAAAGCCGAGAAGCCCCCAATCCCCTTGTGAATCATTTGGGGACATGTTATTATTACAGAATTTGTTTTTTTTTTTGCTTTTCTTTTTTTGTACGTCTGAGAGTCCTGATTTCACATATCTATAAACACCCCCCAACCCCCCCCCCCCCAAAAAAAACAAGGGATTTGGATTTCAGTTAATTACCACGAAGAGACAAATTGAGGGGAAAAGAAAGTATCGTATCTTGGGCTGTAGCTGGAAAACAATTTATGTAAACCAGACAAATCACATGAAAAAGTCACTTTTTTGCAGCAAATATTAATCTTCTCAGACTTGAGCCCGCAGCACATCTACCCATGGCTCACTTTTGCTTGTTTCCAACTACAGCCATTAGCCATTGTACCTTTTCATGAGTTTCTTTTTTTGGTTGGTTGTCAAATAATTATAGGTAGTACTACTAAGACTAATTAAGGTTGGCTAGAGTCATTTGTAAGTAGTACATAGGTTAAGTTTGATTAGGGTCCACTTACGTAGTGTACAGTATACAATTATCATTAGCGATTGCCTCTCTTTTGTCCTAAAGTGATTTCTTTTTGGCTCATCATGCACGAATATATTAATTTGGGAATGGACATGTTTTTGGGACCTTTTTCTTCGAAGAACAAAGACCAAAAAACGTTGGGACTTAAGCAGGAATTTTTTATTCTATATTTTTTTTCTTTTCGTGCCTCTTATTAATGGATGCCATAATAAATAAGTTAAATAGGTTAGTCGGTCGATATGAGGTTTTTCAAATTGACCCCAAGTTGACCGGTTTGTTTTTCAAACTATTAAAACGTGATTTTAGGTCGAACACTCAAACCCACAACAAATGTGTTAGGTTCATATATGAATTCACTGTCCTATATATACTTTAGAAAATGGAGTCATGTGGCTCTGGATTTGCTTGGAAATGTTCACGCCTCGCTGCCCCAAGGATGAAATCAGGAGTAGATGTCTCAAAATGGGTGATTCGAGCGGATTTGAGCGGGTCATAATTGGATAATGAATATAATCGAGTCAATTCATTTATACTCATATAAATAAATAGATATATATCCATTTATACCCATTTAATAAATGGGTATGAGTATATATCCAATTACATTTTTATACCCACACCTATTTATGAGTCATTTAAAATTCTATTTATTATTTTTATTTTTTTGCATGCTGTTCGACAAGGAATGATGATATTTTATTGTTATTTGATTGGTAAGTTAGTTTGGACAGGTCAACATGATTGAATTGTATTGACACCTCCAGTCAAGAGTTGAGGAGGATACTACATCTAAGTCTTAGAAATTCATGTTTTTCACTTTAAACATCTAAAAATTTTCAAAATCTCCTTTAGAAATCACAATTTTGATTGATTTTTTTGAGTGTTTTTAAGAATATTTATAGAAAAAAAATAATGTATCACTTTTTTAAAATGTGAAGTAAAAATGTGATTCATAATTATTTTAAGATAATATTCTTAAAAAATGCAAAAAGGAAAAAAAAAAACAGAAATGCAATCGAATGCACCCCACAAAAATTTTATATTGCCTGTGTGTGATGCTTGTCCTCTCCAAATAAATATTCTAGTTCTACTTCTGTCTTGCACTACGTCCCCATGAATCGGACCAAAGTAATATAATACTCCCTCCGTCCCACTTTGATAGTCCTGTTTTTTTTTTCATCCGTCCCAAATTGTAGTCCAGTTTTCAATTGAAGAATGTAGTTGTATTTTAATTTTTTTAAAATACCCTTATTCAATGTAAGTTATTGTTACTATAAACTTACCCCATTTAATGAGAGTTGATTTTTTTTTTACCATTAATTCAAGTTTCCATAAAGTTATACTCTAATTAATGTGAGGGTATTTTAGGAAAATAGTTACCTAAATTGATTGTTCTAACAAAATTAACTACTTTTTCTTAAACTGTGTGAAAAAGCAAACAGGACTATCAAAGTGGGACGGAGGGAGTATGAAAAAAAAGAGTCTAGAAAAGTGAAAAGGTGCAGAAAAAGTAAATGAAGCACGTTCATTTCACCTGTCGATAACATGCAATTCGAGGATGATCCGTTCCAAGAAGTCTAATTGCTTTTAGTGTTTAATTTCTCATCAATACAAACACAATTTCTTTAATTCGAGGATGATCCGTTCCAAGAAATCTAATTGCTAAAGTTGCTTAAAACGATTCTTTATATACTAAATGGATGCTACTTTCCCTTTGTATCTTCCTTTCTGCTTAAAACGGTAACAAGGACTTCTTTTTTCCTTTTCTTTCTCATTTCTTTTTGTTCTGAATAGTATTTTCTCTTTTTTTCTTTTTTATGGTGTACTACAAATATATTGACTGGTAAATTTTTATTATTTTTTCTCTCTGGTTTTGTTTCTTTTTTTTTTTCTTCTAAATGTATGCATGAGAGTGCGTGTTTGTGTCGGTAATCCTTTTTTTTTTTCCGCTTCTTCCTCATAATCAGCAATTGGGGCTATTGGTCATCATATTTTTTTTTCCTTTAGGTGCTCCTCGTTCCTTCTTTATATTGATCAGGGTTATAGTACATCATATTGTGGTACTTAATTATAATTATTGAATCCAATTAACTCGTCATCTTGCACAAGTATGAATTGAAGCATAATTAACTTGTCATCTTCCTTACCGCCTTTGACAACATGCATTATTATGGGAGAATGATTCATTCTACGAAAACGAAACGAATTAAAGGGGAACGTCATGGGCTAGAAATTGGTAAAAACTGCCTCTAGAAAAATAATCAGAAAAATTTTTGTACTGGAAGCATTATATACATTAGATATTTTTTTAATTAAATTCTCCTTGAACTAGAGAAGGGTTTTTATTTCTTCTTTTTCTTCTTCTTATAGTATTGGAGCGTACAATTATGTAAAAGTACAAGAGCTATGATAATGCATCCCAAACCCCATAGGCTTTGGCCTCGTTTGGATAGCAATTACTACGTATTTTCGCGAACACATTTTCGAATCACTTTTTTACCTTACATATATCAAATATCTACAGTAATTTTTTTATAAAAAGTTTAGAAAAATACAATCCAAACAAGGCCTTTATTTACTGGATATGGGACACGGACACTTGTGACAACTGCCCAGAATAGAACAGTGTAGAGGTGTCAACGGGTTGGGTTCGGGTTGAAATTCAAAATGTCTGGATTTGAACCCATTTTTATGTAGTAGACTCGGACTCAATCCGTATATACCCGATGAGTCTTGATCTTAGAGTCTTGGAATTGGGTCTGACGGATCCGAGTCGGGTTCGGGTCTAAAAGGTTCAAATTTAAATATTTTAAAATCAAATCCAAAAATAATCATAAATCAAATATCCAAACTTAAACAAATCAAATTACAAAACTAAATCACAAATAACTCATAATAGTCAATTCAAAACTAATCACAAATCAATCTACAAAGTCATTACTAAATTGTTAATTTGGTAAAAGAATATATTTAGAAATATTTATATTTTATAACTATTAATATATTGTTCGAATCTGGATCGATTACGAGTCGAATCCTATGTTTCGTATCCAATCCATTTTTGTTAGAGTAAACGGATTCAAATTTGGATCTGGATATCCAAATTATTTTTCAACCTAAATTCAAAAAAAATTATCAGATTCGGATCCGGTTCAAATTCAAGCCCGACCCGTTGACACAGTGACACTTCTTTAAATAAGTTGTGACCGCTTCTTAACCGTGTGTCGCGGTAAGTTTTTATAAGTAATTCACTTAAAATTTACAGGGATTATTCACAAGTGATCGAGACAGAGTATCACATCGTTCCGGACAATTGTCCCGTGTCCTGGGTTCTTATCTGCCATTCATTAGTGGGACAGCTGTCCATAAAGAAATCAGTTAAATAATACTAATAATAATATATAAAAAGTGCACATATTTTTGCACGGCATGCATAAATGGGTCCGCCTCAGTGGGTTGGAGCCCTAATTCCATTCCCAGATACTCCGTCCAGGTTATTGTTACTTTTGAGTTCTAACGCCAGGGTATCCTCTTCTCTGATTCCTCTCCATCCGACCACCCTCAATACCTCGTGTTTCTTCTTCCTTTTCTTTTTCTTGCTTCCTTTGGTCATTCTTGGCCCTAATTCCCAATTATCGACCCTTTTTTTGTCCTGTCAATTATTAATTGACGGTGTTACTGTTGATCTTTTCTGCTGCAGATCCATGAGTACCTTCCATAATTTGGTAGCTATGGGTGTTGGTGCTGTGTTAGGTGTTGTCACTGTAATAACAGCTGCGTCTCTAAGACGGTAACCAGGATTTCTTGTTCTTTTGTCATGTTTGAGTGCTTCCCTCCCTCTCTCCCCAAAAATAAAATAAATAAACAAACCAAAATTTTATCTGTGTCTAGTTCAAGGCTAATCATCTAATTTTTTTTCCTTTTTTTATTTTCTGGCTTCTTTTCCTCTAGCCATCTGGACAGGATAGATGATGAGGTGATTTGGGAAAAGTAAGACGCTTTTGGCTTTGGTTTTTTAGTTGATCTGTTCTCCTCATTGTTTTGGGGTCTAATTTATTGTAATTATATTAAATCTTTGAGCTGTGTTGTCTTCCCAGGTACCAAAGCGCAGTCAGAAAAAGCCACGAGGAAAATACTCGCTGACTGTTGTCTCCACCAAAATGGCTCACACTTTTGCGTCCTATTAGCCATTAGATGTTAGAAATCTCCATGTTTTTTTTTTCTGGGTTGTCGTTCTGCTGTCGTATTTAATATTTAGCAGCTAGTACCTATGTAGTCACCACGAAGTTCCGAGGAGAATGGTTTTGCTTTATTAGTCTCGGATTGTGGCTGTTTTGGTATCTCGTCTTATAAGTAAAGCTGTTCTTCGTACAATTTTCATATTTATGTTGCGTTATGATTGAATGGCAGAACTAGGAAATGGTTTGTATCTCGTTGCATTTTTGTATCAAGTACTCCGGATAGGTTAGCACTCCCGTAGGGTTTAATACGGGCATTATTTTTGTGAAATTGTAACTGATTGAATATTTAATTTCTCCATGATTGACAACAAATGAAATGTCTTACAATGGAAATAGTCCATTTTTCATAATCAATAATCTCAATATATGTAGAATGACAAGATTTGGTATAAAATTGACTGCTTTTCACTCCTGTTGAGCATTCTCTAAGAGATGTAAAGACTGCGTTATGCTTCGAAAGATTTAATGGCAGCGTCAGAAGACAGTAGTGCTTTTGTTCAGTTGCTGTGTTAATTTACTTATTTTAATTGTTTTCCTGTGATCTTCTATTTGCTCGTGTTTATTGTTTAGAGATACAAGATGGCTTCAATGTTATAATCCTGCAGGAGAAGAATATTACAGGGACTGACTTTGGGGATGAAATGACAATTACGAAATTTTATTCTAGTTACCTAATGAAACCATCTCCAAAATTAGAAAATTTTCACCCCTTAACGGACTATATTATACTAATTGAGAATAGTTATTGCTTAAGATTGGATCATCACTTTTTATCATTTTGAAAATTCAGATCAACTCACCAAAACACTTCCCGTAAACTAACTGTTCACAAGTGACGGCCGGGTTTTCTGTCCAAGAGTCTGAATGTAAATCTAACGTCCGCGGAAGTTACCAAGATCCCTCTCAGCCATGCCCCATAAACATTAATCGAGGGTTAATGCCGGTTCCTAAAGGCATGGACCAAAGGTTTAGCTTGGAATTTGGACGATTTGGAATTGCAAATCATAACTCATTAGGTATAAATAAATGAATTATTATGATGGCTTTGAGTAAAATACCACATATTTTCTGTCCATCTACGCAATGGCATAAGCCGCATCTCCTGATCGTTCCCTCTTAACATATGATACAAAACCTAACCGTAGCTACTCATAATGAACAGCGTTGCGATATGTCCTACGAATTAAGCTCTCTAACCAACATACGTATATAAGCTGATTATCTATCTACATAACTACTAATTGTACTTGTAATTCCTTATCACTGTCCAACTTTTCTCCAGCTCCACTCCAATATGGGAGCATCCACATCGAATCTTCTCTGTCTGTCAAATGGATCTCCATCAATCATCCATCGGCCAAGGTTACTCGAGTAAATGTTCTAATCGCCACAGCAGTTGGCACGTTTTGCCTCCCGAAGCTTCTGCCAAAGACAAAGCATTTCTCGAGGACCTTGATAGTGGGCAATTACATAGCCATCTCTGCATCCCACATTGAAGATCCTCTCATCTGTCTCATATTTTACTTCCAAACCTTGCTTCTTCATATCTGAAATCCAAATTCCCATAGCCACATCCTCTAGCTTGAACATCTGCAGCAGTAAACCACAAGATTTTTAGCATTTCAATGACTTTACAAGAATTAATCAAGGTGATGGAAGCAATCTTATTTACATGCAAAACAACTAAATAAATATTTCTGAAAGACTACTGGCGTAGAGAGACTGATGCAAAGTTGTACCTTAAGTTGGCCTTTTCTGTATCTCTTGTAGATTGCCTGTGCTATATCATTTGATACAACATATCCAGGACCATGTGCCCAAGGAGGATAGGAGTCATCTGGCCATTCCTGAATTGAAATACAAAAGAGAATGAGATTTGATCATATACCACGGTTATAATCGAAAGGAAATAATATATATATCATAGTTCGAAGTCTCGGCCGAGACCGAGACGACTCGGCCCCTACCGATATGATACCGTGACGAAACGATATCGAGATACTTGACTCGCCGAGAAATCGGCCGAGACGTCACCGCTATGGATTGACTCGGCCGAGTCACACCGAATCACTCCGAGTTATCCCAAGTCAAAACGAGAAATCAGTCAAGTTACACCGTGACGGATTGACTCGGCCATTTCTTTTGCTATTTTTTATTATTTTTGTTTAGCATACTATTTTTATATTATTAACAATTTTTAGAATATTAAATACTTTAAAATTTGCGTCTCACCGAAACCGCGACCGATATGCCGAGACCGATGTGGAACGTTCCAGGCCGCGACCGCGACTTTGAACCATGATATATATCACAAGTTGAAATTAGAGATGCATCTTCCAAAACCTCACGAGGTTCAAAATTTCACGAGAAAACTCCATAATCCAGCATCCTGGGGTTATTAGAAAGCTGCTAGAAATGTATGCAAAATGAAAGTCTGTGAACTTTTTTCGGTGGACATGGCAAGGTTTGAAAACTGGAGCACCATCTAACTGAGCTAATGCCCAGGTAGAACTTGAATTTTGCCTCCCTTCAGATAAACAGTCGAGTTGAAAGGAGAGGGAACAGGATTGTCTGAAAGCCTCTTTAGACAGAGGATTGTAACCTAATTAATTGCATTTGCCACGACAGAGGTGCCAGAGGTGCCTAATCTTTGACACCTCTTCCTCATAAAGCCTAAGATTAAAAGTGTCATTACGAACTCTCAGTGTTTCATAAATGTTGAAACCATATTTTGTGCCTTTTATTGACAGGATTTTCTCTCTTAGGTTAGCATAGGGTTAAGCTTTACCCTATAACCACAATTTTCCCAGAATAAGACTTCAGTTATATTGCATTTCTAAGTCCCAATGTCTTCTTAACATAGATGAACACACATATTCTATAAGATATAGCTATCCTTGCATCTATTCCTGTATCTTATGGCCGCAAGTAGAGGTGGCAATTTGGACTGAAATCCATTTATCCATCCATATAATCCATAATTAAATGGATTTGGATTATCCATTTATAGTATTGGTTTTAAATGGTTGACCAAAGTAAAACCATTAAATAAAATGGATTTATATGGATTATCCATAAAAATCATATATATCCATTTACTTAAAAACCAAATAAAATTGAAATTTTGGTGGATAGAGAATTGGGGATCAACTGTGACCGGATTGAGGTGGGTGAGATGCTCCAAGTTGCTCTACTTTGCACTCAATACCTCCCCGCCCACCGGCCTAAGATGTCGCATGTGGATCGAATGCTTGAAGGAGAGGGCCTAGCAGAAAAATGGGCAGCCTCCCATAATTATACAAATCAAGGCACAAACCTTCCCACCCTCAATGCTGTTTTGTGTTTTACCATGTATGTATATATCGTTTCACAGTAAGAGATACTGATTGCTCCAATGAGTAAATAATATTTAAATAGATTATAAATGGATAATTGGTTTTTATTTAATCCATTTAGATCCATCCATTTAAATCCATTTATTAAATGGATCTAAATGAATTAGATAAATTTCATCCACCATCCATTAAGTTAAAATCAATTATGAACCATTTATACGTATTGCCACTTCTAGCCGCAAGTATTATGTGCACATCTAATCTCAGATATAGATTTTCAGAGATAAAAGGATTAGGCCCTAACAATAAACTAACCACAGAATGAGATGCATTCAGGACAAACTTACTTCAGGACTAATGTACCACTTGCTATCAGGACTTCGATGAGGATGTGAATCAGAATTAATGAGCCCATAAAGCAAACCACAGCTCACATTAATCCTATTCAAGGAGGCCAAAATTTCATCCACCCGAACAAATGCATCATCGTCTGTCTTCATGACAAATTTTGCTGAAACTACCTGTGTCTGTTCAAAAGATTTAAGTGAAAGAGGCACTCGAAACTTTCCATGAGCTTTAAAGAGACAGGACATTACCCCAAATACACATATAGCTAGAGTCTTCCATGTGATAAGGCTATAGTAGTCAACAAATGGCATCAGTTGGATGTCACCATAAGTTTTCGCCTCATTCCATAGCTCCTCATTCACCACCTGGTTTTTATGCTACAAAGCAGAGGTGACACTTTCATCATATTGTCCAACAAATGGCAGGTTAAAATTCAGAAGTCAAATGCTAGGGACATGACTGAAAAAAAATGATACATGTTTAACTAATACATTGAACCGCTCTTCCATGAAGCAACAATTCTTTTGTAAGTTAAAACAGACAAAGTTGTTCCCTTTCATAGTGCCTATCAAAGAATCTAATCTCTTCATTATGGCTCACTTGTGCTGTTGATGCTATATTCTAGAATCAAGCATGTAAATTCAAGAACTACAGTGTGCAAATGAATTGCTAAATATTGGTAGAGTTTCAGGATTTGGGCATGTCCTAATCCTCTTTCTAGAAGTAATAGTTCACATCAATGGCTGCAGATATACATGCAGCAGTACTTGTGAAATAATATTGCCTGTAATTAAGTAGATAACTAGGGCAAGATAAGTAGCGATTATCCAATGCAAGCATAAGTGACAAATAAAGTAATCAAGCAAAAACATAAACAGCAAAACTTGCAAAACTTACCAGACCAACAAAAAAACGAACTGCAATCGTTCCAGACCTCACAGGACCATACTGCATCCATGTTCTTCGAACAGCCATTCTGCGTTTAAAATTGTTGATAAGTCTAATTACAAGTAATTAGAAGTGAACACTAATAAGATAAAGCTGTATTTAGTAAGTGAAAAATTGCATTAAGTGCATTAGAACCACATACTAAAATTACTGCTGCATTTCCAAATTACAGAGTTATAACTGCATTCATGCAAAGAGATGTAGCTGCTTGACAAGCAGCATTAGGCTGAACTAGATGAGATTTTAAAATAGAAATGAACTGAGCATATGCATTTGTACAAGTTCTCTTTATACTTGCTCTAGGAGAAGTTTGAAAATTGCTTACTGGCCTTTCTCTCTTCAGTTGTATAAAATTATACATAGATTGATTGGTTTGAGGAACATAATATGGAAACATGTATGTTGTCATTACAAAAGTTAAGCATAAGTCAGCGGAACTTAGAGCCTTGTACGGCCTTGCCTCTCTTGTATTTTTTTTTTTCCAATTCCACCTATAGAGATGGCATAATACAGCCCCTATCATCTTAAGAGATGTCAACCTGAAATTGGAGCCATCCATTAGCTTCGCTTACATTGGCTAATGATGTTAAAACTCACATGTAATCTAGTTTAAATAGTTACTCAATTTATGGATAAAAAATATTGTTTTTCTAAAATTTGGTTATTAAGTTTCTACAATTAATTAAGGCATAAAAGTAAATTCTTACAATTTATTATTAGAAATATGTCCAATTACCTCCCTGGGGAAGGGGGGGTGTGCGGTATTTTAGAAACGACAGGAATGGTAATTGCTAGCTAATTAGCTAGGTTTCTGCAATTATCCTACTATCTAATTTAATAGTTCTTAATACTTATTCTTTTTTAGGGACAGCTGGAATCCAGTGAAACCCGAAATCCTTTTTTTTTCTTCTGGATTGGGGTATATTGGACGGAGCCCTAATTCCCAGACAGAAGATCTTTTGCTACTTCATCCTCTCTCCACGGAGTCCTCTTGAATTCTCTTAGCATTAGATCTCTGTGGTCTCTCTCTCAAGGGTAATTCTCCTCCGTCCATCCAACCGAACTGCCATCATGATTCTTCTTCCTTCCTTTGATTATTCTTGGCCCTAATTCCCAAATGTCACCTTGCTTCTTTTATTATTATTGACGGTATTGATCTTTTCTGCAGCCGATCGATGCATCCCTACAGGCAATTGGCGGGGTTTACTGTGAATTATCTCATAGGTGTCGCCTGTGGCTGTGGCGCTGTTTTAGCTGGGTCTGCTATACGTCGGTAATCAGGATTTTTGTTGCTTCCCCCAACCCCCCCTCCCCCACCCTCACCGTCTTCTTCTTCTTCAGGGCATACTTCAATTATGCTTTTTTAAAAAAAAAAAAATTTCTCCGATTTTTTGTTTTTGTTTTTGTTTTTTGAGTGAATCTGTCTCTAACTCAGGGCTAATTATCTTTCCTTTTTCATTTTATTGGCTTCTTCAGCGGTTGGGCCAGGAGGAATATGAGCTCGTAAGAAGCTTTTGCGTTTCGTTATAGTTGATCTGTTCTAGTCGTTTTTCTGGTCTAAATCTTATTTATGATTCTGTTTTCTGAGCTGTTGTCTTCTCAGGCACCGCACCGGCCGCAGCGAAGGACGAGACACTTCTGGCTGACTGGCGTCTCCATGAAATTGGTCTCGCTTTTACGTGCTTTGAATGTTAAGGCTATGATTAGCCATTACATATTAGATGCTACTTATTTCAACCCTATGTTTCTTGTTATGTTAAAGACTCGTTATGGATTACATTATGTAATGTCTAATTATGGAATTTGATCCTTTCTAGTTAATTTATCAAATAGTCACGTAATTATATTTGATTGATCCTCCGATATGAACTGCATCTTCAGTATTATTTTGTGCTAATGATCGAGTTTGAAAATTCAATAATTGAAAGCGATGAAGCTCAAATCTTACTGTAGACTTAAGTTGTGGTGACTTTTTGTTAGTTGAAATCAGTTTATACATTGCTCCTCCTTTGCTAATTCTGCACATTTTTTGACAAATTTTTCATAATTACCAAAACGTTAACAAATTGTACAAATGTGTCATGGATTTATTTTTAATGGTAAAAGTGAGCTGTTTCCCCGTTGGCTCGGCTCAGTTAAGACCCGAAGCCGAGAAGTCCCCAATCCCCGTGTGAATCATTTGGGGACAAGTTATTATTACAGAATTTTTTTATTTTTGCATTTTTCGGAATTTGGATTTCGGTTAATCACCACAAAGAGACTTTGAATGTAATTTATATTCTATAATGTGTTTCCTAATTCACGGTATTTAATAAACATTTGGGAAGACCATTTTAACTCCTGTATTAATTATTATTTCGACCTAAAACCAAGTTCTTGACATAGATGATTTGCAATCATAGTTTACTTAGTATTGTATAATTTATTTTCTAGCACAATTTACATTGCTGTTAAACAATCCTGGGCACAAAGCAATATTGGGCATGCACGGTGATCACCTCCTAGTTGTACAATACATGCATTATGCCTCCTAAAATGATTCAGTTATTTAAAAGACACGACCGTCTGTTCTTGTGCATTCGTTAAAACATCTAGGAATTCATAGTTGGCTTATTATGCAAATACGCACTCACATGCATTCTTTAAAGGGTTTAGCTAACAAGTTAATTGGGGCCTCTAGTGTTATTTTATTTTTAAATTTTTTGATAAAGTTGAAATTAATTTGAGAAAAACTTTTAAATGTTGGGACTTGGGACGCACTAACTGTGAATGCATGCATTTATATGAAAAATTAAGTGTAATATAAGTGTATCAAGGAGTGCGTCAGGCATATGTTACAGAAATCCCTTGTTAAATAGCTATTTCCCTTATAAGACGCACATGCACATTAATTTGTGCATAATCGAAACGCATAAGCATTAATTTGTATATAATCGGAATTACCATTTCAGTCGGTTTTTAAGGGTATCTTCATTTTTGGGGAGAGTTGTGAGCGTGAGGGGAGAAGAAGGAAATTATGAAGTACTTAAACCTTTGAATCTCATTATCGTACAACTTTGACATAAGAGTTTCATGTTAAATCACCTATCGTGGTAGAACAATTTCGATCTCTTAAGTATGAGGAATTCTGGAGTATTTATGTGAGGAAACTAAGAAGAGTTATAGCATCCACTCAACACATCCTCTGAGCACAAAATTCGCAAGTAACAGACAATCAAAGGTGGACAAAATTACAATGGAGAGGTAATTCTATATTTCTACAGAAGGGGGGAAAAAAGAAGTAAAAGGTAAGTCTTATACCCAAACAACAAAAAAAAGAAAAAGAAGAAGAAGATAATGAAGAATAAAAGATGAAAAGACTTCAGAGGTAAGTCTACAATTGCAATGGCAACAAAGTTGCAGAACTTCATAAAAGCCTGTTAAATGAGTCTTTTGCTGGTCTTGTGCTGTAGCTGGAAAACAATTTACGTGAACCAGACACACCACATGAAAAAGCCACTTTTTTGCAGCAAATATTAATTTTCTCAGACTTGAGCCCGCAGCACATCCACCCATGGCTCACTTTTGCTTGTTTCCAACTATAGCTATTAGCCATTGTACCTTTTCATGAGTTTCTTTTTTTGGTTGGTTGTCAAATAATTATAAGTAGTTTGAGTCATTTGTAAGTAGCACCTAGGCTACTGATTAAGTTTGATTAGGGTCGACTTACAAAGTGTATAGTTAAACTAACCTACTCCTCATTAGTCATTCCCATCCTTATTGACCCGTTTGGTTAGAACACATTTGTTTAATCAGGATTACTGCCTCTGCATTTATATTGTTTAAATGCAACCAAATTATATGGTTTGACTGAAATTTCAGGTGAGTTTGGCGGTTCATAGATTTTGACTCACATTCATAAGAGACAATAATATTAATGTTTTGGGACAATTACAACTACTAACTTTAATTTTTCTGCTGTATCACCATTTAATTAGTTCTGAAACATCACCAGAAGAAATTGATGGCACATAACTTTCAATTCTGTTACAAGCCAAAAAAAAAAAAAAGTATGAAATACTCTTTGTAACGACCGTTCAATTATCAAATTCAGGAATGATTCATAAACTAATTTTAACATAATTTGGAATCACTAAGACTTTGTCTGAATATATAGAGAGAAAGTTGTGTAGAAAAAACGAAGTGATGGAAAAATGAGATAGAGTGAGGTGAAGATACTATAGTGAATGCCTCTCTTTTGCCCTGAAGTGATTTCTTTTTTCCTCATTAGTCAAACCTCTTGACATACATGGTTTGGCACAAGTAGACAAGTGATTTTCATTAAATTTTGATGATTTAGCTAAGCCTTCACTAGTTTTTGGAGAGAGAGAGAGAGAGAGAGAGAGAGAGTTACGGTAGTCCCTTAGTCAAATTATAAATCTGGTGAATTAGATAAAGATTATTACAGGTCCATTTAATTTTTCCTTTCCCTTCAAAGCAAATATCATTTTAATCCTCATCCAAAGGCACCTTATATCCATGCTTTTCGACCCCGGCCATATTCACTCTCATGGTCTTAACTTTTAGCATCAATTTTTGTTTTTCCAGCAATTGTTGATTTTGAGGTCTTTTATGGTTTCCGAGGTCAGTCATTGGTGGGGAAAATCTGCTGGGTTTATCTACCAAGTCGGAAGAGTGTTGCAGAAATGCTGAATTTCTTTCTATTTACTTTACCAAATATTACCTTATTTGTGGAAACACATTACACATCTGCAAATACAGCACCAAAAAAAAAAGAAACTAATAATAGTAGTTTACGGTTTCCCGTGGCCTTTTTCTTTTTCTAATTTTTTGAGGTAGATAGACACGCATTTGATACACATAACAATTTTGAGCACGAATTTGGTTAGTCCAATTTAATTAAAATTGGTGAATTGATTTCAGCGAAATCGAATTCGATTCGGTTTCGGTATATAATTAACTTTTGAAAGCAATTAATTAGTTTGAAAGTGATTTTCACTTCTGAATCTCAATCTCAACTGAAAACTTACTACGATTTCATGTTTCCTATTATATATACATATATATATATATATATTATAAGACATCTATATTGTTAATTACTTAATTGTGCCTTTAGATATTACATATTATATACGTATGGCCTATGTTATTTTGAATGCTAAATAGTCTTAATTACCTTTTACGCTCTAAATACAATCTAAATACAAGTAACTAGTGAATATATAATACTAAATCCATTAGAACAAGTTAACCGCACATAAACATACATAGTTACACACTATGATATTAACTTCAGTTACTACCCTTCTTTAATATAAAAAAAAAAAGTTTTTGGATGCCAAATTCAAAATCATTGTTTTTAACAAAATTTTAAAATTGATGAAATTCATTAACTAATTTCGAAACTGAATTCTGGTCTCAATTCAATTTTACTTTGATTCAGTGAATTCGATTTCAATCGCAACTGTTAAAGGACTATAAACCGATTTTAACTGATTTTAATTAACTAAATTATCGATTGATTCTCACCCCTACGTATCAATTTTTTTATTTTTACGTTAGTTGAAATGACATTAATAATCCATCCTGTATAAATATGTTTAATTCTTAATTCTCCTCCGCACAATGACTGCAATGGTGAAATTTTTGCAAACAACTATTGTGCATCTTAATATTCAGAAACAAAAAGTGCACAAATGTCAAAAGAATTTTGTATTCACACTCATATTGGTCATCTTTGCGGTAAAAGTAACCCAAATTTGAGCATCATAGTAATTTAGCGGTGCATTATGAAACAATAAGCATTACAGAGCACAAACAGCTGTAGTCGTAAAAATGATATTCCTTCATTATTAGCATTGCGTATTTGTACAGTACACAACAATAGGTGCAACTTCTGGAAGAGACTGGGATTTTTATAGAAGCTGGACCATCACTGGCATTAGATTCTAGTCATGGATAAAGCGAAAAAGAGTAATTACCGTATATAAGAGCAACGGCAGGGGTATATAGATAATCAAACAGCACAATTGCTGCAATTTTTGTTCAAGATGTATTTATCTACAGAATAAATAAATAGAGTGCTCAAGTAGTGCATGGGGTAAAGTCAAAAAGTCCAAAGTCTTGGAGAACCTAAAGATAAAATGACAATTCAGATTGCTCCTAATTGATCCAATTAATTTGGGATTCTGAAATGACTGCTTAATTCTTCTGTTTGCCTATCTCTATACTAAAACAAATGAAATTAAGAAAATTAGTAGATTAATGTAGTATTTACTAATACTAATAAGATTCGTAAATGTTCCACGAAGCAGGATTGTTGGATTCGTGTCTTGCTACAGAAATAAACAATCTGCAATTTGAACGTTGATAAGTATTTTTAGAATATTTATTATCAGCTTTTAAAGGTAAGATTCAATTCATAATTTGTTTACTCTGAATGCTTTGAAAAAAAAGAAGTAAATGAACATTCTTTTTTCTTCTTTTTTTTTTTGTTTTTGCGTTTCTGTAAGCAATCCTAAAATCATAGTGGAGTTCGAGTAGGAAATAAGTCTCACATCTTATATTTCTGCCCCCCATTGCAACTCCCCAATTAGCATAAAAGTTTCTTCCTCTCCTCTGGAAATAGAAATTTCTTTTGATAATGATTATCTTCCGTTGTTTTCTAGTAGTTGCATAATGCAATTTTTTTCATTTTCATTTGATCTTGCATTAGCAATGTAAAGTTCTCTTCTCTTTTTTTTTGGTTGTTTTAGCAATAGAAAGTAAGTATTTAGTTAACGTCAAGCCCGAACATAAA